TCTTATAAAAAGATACAAGGGTAGTTATCGCTGCTGCAGATCAGCCGACATGAGAACCAGTTACTTTCACATTTCTTGCGAAAATTTCTGTGGATGTCTATTAAGTAATCGGTATAAAAAATCATATTTGTCACGTCAAATTAGAGTGTCCAGGATGGCATAGTCACATTTTTTTCGCACTTTTTGTCATTTTTTCACACTTTTGGTGTGATCGCATTTTTTGACAAAATTTCATATTTTTCGCACTATTCGCAGTAAATCAAAAATTACTATATTTTTTATTTTTTTTAAATAATGATCATTTCTTTGTTCTTTTTTTACAAAAATGGTTAGCGCTTATATACGTTTATCTCAAAATTCTTTGTATCGAGAAAATTATATTCTTCAAGGAAACATATTGTGGTGCTGGTTTTGCAATGTAAAATTGACCATGAAGTAAAATCTGTTGTAGATAAACATTGCAATGTAAAATTGACCATGAAGTAAAATCTGTTGTAGATAAACATCTTCAAACTCTCAAACATGAAAATAATAAAAAAAAAATATAAATAATTCTAATCATTTAATTCAAAAAACTATAACTTCATTAGTTGGAAATACTTTGAATGAAAAAGAAATAATAAATGTTAAAGTTGTTGAAGCTTTTACTTTTGCAGATATTCCTTTAGAAAAAATCGAAAAACTTAAACCATTTTTAAAGAAATATTGTAAAAATGGTATGTAATATTTTCCACTTTTTATTTGATTTATGGTATTTAATTTATTTAATAAATTTAATAAATTAATGATAATTTTTAGGGGGATTAATTACTGATGCAAATCAACTCCATGAAAAATATCTTCCAATGTCATACGAAATAGAACTTCACAAATTAAAAAATAGTATTGTTGATAAGATTATTTGTATAACTGTTGATGAAACAACAGATCGGTGTGATCAACATGCCATTAATCTTTTATTTAGTTATTGTAATCAAACTAAATTAGCCAAGACTGAATTTTTATCTAATGTAAATGCTTCATCTATTTTCCAATTTGTCATGAATACACTTCATTTTTATAATATTCCTTATGAAAATATTATTTTTTTTATATCTGATAATGTTTCGTATATGAAATTAGCTTATTCACACTTATTCACTTTTTTGCCTAAAATGAAGCATAATTGCTGTTTAGCACACATTATTAATTTGATTGGAGAAACATGGGTTGATTTTCAAAAATTCGAATTAGTTGATAAATTAGTCAAAAATTTTAAAGCAATATTTGTTTATAACTCAAAAAGGAAAATTCATTGGAAAGAGCATTTATTGCGAAATAATATTGAAGATCCTACTTTAGCACTATTACCAATCAAAATACGGTGAAATTCATGGTTTTCATTTTTGTGTTTAATTAAACCTTTATATTCTCACTTAATTACATTTATTAATGCAGAATATTCTATCAATCATAATTCAAAAGCTATTCAGGATCTTTATTCTTTTTGTCAAAACTGAAACAATGTTTTATGTGTTAGAATTATTATATATTTTATCACATATAATTGCATCCAGTAAGAAAATTTTAATTAATTTATTAAATATATAAATTTATTACTAATTGTTAATTAAATTTTATTTAGATTAATTAATGACTTAAAATTCTTTAAAATACGAAATAAAGCAATAGCTCCATTTGTTTATTCACGAATATTAAACCTTCAAGCTTTTCTTTTGTCAGGAAAAAGAAATCCTCCAATTTCAGATGAAATAGAACGAATTTTGGAAAGAACAAATTATAATAAGGATCTATTTGTTTCATTATTTTCTAAAGCTTTTGCATTAGCTTATGAAAAGTGCAAAAAACACATACCTCATCATCCGGCTTTATCATTGTTCAAAACAATACAATGCTTTGATCCAAGATTTATTCAATCTAACATAATTAATCATAACATGGCAGATTATAGAATTATTTACGAATTTCATTTTCCTACTGATACTTTAATACAAGAATGGATCATTTATTGTGGGCTTAATGAAACAGCTGAGGAATTAGTAGATCTAGATATATATTGGCAAAACAAAACACATTTATTACTAGAACTTAGTGCATTAGCTTTAGTATATATTTGGTTACCAGTATGTTGAACGTAGCTTTTCTAGTTATAAAAATATCTTATCAGATAGAAGGGTTGCACTTAAAAAAGAAAGCATTCAGATACTTAATTTTCTTTACTTTAATTTTGGTGGTAACATTAATTAGGATTTATTAATTACAGTTTAATAAAAATTAAATGTATTGTTTCAATAAATTTTTTTCGTAGTATAATAAATGTTAATTTTGGCTGAAATTTTGTTAATTCTGGCCGGCATTAAGATCGCACCAAATCACATTTTTTAATTAAATCACACCATACTTTTTAGGTCATCACACCATGAAATCCTGGACACCCTACGTCAAACACAGCAATAGTGTGACATAACGTTACTAATATCATCAAAAGTTAATTTAGAAATGATCGTCAAATCACATCAACTAATCAGATATCATGAATTTTTTTTTTTTAAAAAAAAAAAAAAATCAAAAAAATTTTTTTTTTCGGATATCTTTGGAAACAAATCCATCATTTTTAAAAAGAGATAATTTATCATGGTAGAGTATTGAATATAAATTCGATTCATTGCATTGCAACTGATGATTTAAAGAACGCACAAGATTGCCTGAGGGTATCTTGGTAGCAAATACATACAAAGCTTTTTTTTCTTTCTATCTTCCATGATTATTCATGATAAGAAGGAGGAAACAAAACTTGTATTAGAGCAAACATAGAATAAAAAAAAAACAAAAAAACTAATAAGTTTTTTTTTTTATAATTATTATTATGTTTCGCTCAATGAACCACTTTAAATAAAAATGATACTTATAGCCTCCTAAGAAATCTGGTTCGAGAAAAGTAGCTCCTGCTCCTTATCCTGTAAAGAAAAAGGATTCGAGCAAAAGTGCTAAGAATCCTTTAATAGAGAAGAGACCTAGAAATTACGGAATTGGTATGTGAATTTATTCCTAACCTTAGTTTAAACAAGAGTTTAATTTATATATACCGTTTTATCAATCTTTCGCTAACCATGCTTTTCACGTTATTTAGGCCAAGATATCCAACCCAAAAGAGACTTGACTCGCTTCGTTAAATGGCCCAAGTATGTTCGTCTTCAAAGACAAAAAAGGATTCTTAATCAACGTCTTAAGGTGCCACCGGCAATTAATCAATTCACCAAAGCACTGGACAAAACCACCGCGATCAATGCCTTCAAACTTCTCAACAAATATCGACCTGAAACCAAAGTTGAAAAAAAAGAGCGACTTTTAGAATTAGCGAAATGTAAGGCCGAAGGTAAAAAGTATGAACCGAAAAAACCTTTCGTAGTTAAATATGGCATTAATCACATTACTGCATTAATTGAAGCCAAGAAAGCCAATTTGGTTTTGATCGCTCATGATGTTGATCCGATTGAAATTGTTTTATGGTTGCCAGCTTTGTGTAGAAAGATGGGAGTACCTTATGCAATTATTAAAGGGAAAGCTAGATTGGGAGCTGTGGTTCATAAAAAGACTGTCACGGCCCTGGCATTTGTTGATATTAAAGACGAAGACAAAACTGCTTTTACTAATTTGATTAGCACTATTAAGGTTAATTATAATGATAAATATGAAGAAGTTAAGAAGCAATGGGGTGGTGGAATTATGGGAGTTAAATCTCAAGCCATGATGGTTAAACGTGAAAAGGCCGCTGGTAGAGAAATCAAACCCGTTGTTTAGTTTTCATGTCCAAATAATTTATAATTTTTATTTAGACGTTTATTTTACGTTTATGATTTAATATTTGTTATAGTAAAAATAAAAAATCTTTGGGTCATTTAACTTTGATTTTCTCTAATATTAATGAATTTTTATTTATCACATGATTATATATGTAATATTAGTTTACAATACCAATTGTATATGCTTGTTAGTTAGTCCTGAGAAAGTTATAAACTATTTCGCCGAAGAGGAGAATTAATTAATTAAATCTTGCAATGAAGTGATTTATTATATTATTGATTACTTCGAAATAGTTTTGTTATTTAATAGGTTCTTTTGCTGAAATTCTCAAACCGGGCTAACTGCATATGTGCGATTCCAATACTTGTTTCCTATAAAAGGTTAAGCCTTATGTGAATTTCCATTCATGTGTATTCATTGTAATGTTGATCCGTGACTCGATTTAGGAAAAAAAAGAATTTTCCAAAAACATTGATTTTTATTGGTTTTGGGCAAAAAGGTTCCCTGTCGAACAAAATATCGGTTATCTTCGGAGTTATTTTTAATGGGATGAAACCTTGAAACCCCTCTTAAAATAATCTTTATATTAATCAAGCAGTGCACATATTTCCATTTCAGGAAACAATCAAGAGTCAAAAAAAGAATGAATTATTAATCTCGTAAAATATAAATTGTTTTGTTTGTAAGAAATATTGTTTGTATTAAGAACGTACTTTATTTGTAAACAATCTTGTAACTTGATCATAGAATTTAAAAAAAAAGCAGGGGAAAACGAATAATAGAAGGAAGAAGCTGTTATATCAAATAATAAGTTTATCGTGCCACAATATCGAGCTCAAATCTAGAAAAGAAAAGATATAAACAGCACGAAAGATTTTAAATGTTTATTGTCGCATTACATGATATATTTATTTACTTTTGCAAATAGTCTTTATGACAAAGTTATTTCGGCCGTGATAAAAATACCGGGTACTTTTTTTTAAAGAATTTCACAAATAAATAATCGGACTTTTTTTTTTATTTATATTATTTATATTGCATAATAAAGTAAAATATGTATATAAATTGTGTGATCACATTATTTTTTCTTTTATTTGAGGTGAAAATTTGAGATTTTTTCCATCCCTTTAGATTGTTAATTAATTTAGACTTTATCCTTCATCCTTTCATTTTTATATTTTATTTTATCACATATAATGGCAACATACGAACAGATTTCTTGTCGGTAAGTAAAAAAAAAAAATTTACATTTCTTTAAACATTTTTTTCCTTCTTTTAACTTTTCTTCATATTGATGTTATAGGTGGGAGTTGAACATTGAAGGATGTAAAGATTATTCTTTCTTTCGTACAAATATAGAAATAGAATTAGTATTAGTAATAATTACATTCATTTTAAGTACCATTTTATTATTATATAGAAGAATAAAGTATAATAGTATTTTATGGAATGGTCAATGTTTTTCAGCTTTAGATGGTTTCTTATTTTGGGCTGACATTTGGTGTATTACAAAAGTAATATTTATTTTTGTACAATTATCAAACCTTAAAAACGATTATTTAAGACATTTTTTATTTGAACTTATGGCTTTCCCTCCAGTCATTGCTGTTGCAACTTACGCTTCAGGATTGTAAGTAAAACTGCCCGTACACGTGATTTTAACACGTATCTTTTCAAGATGCTTATCTTTCATCCTTTTTGAATTTCTAGATTCTATGCCATACCAAGGATGAATTTTCAGCAGCGTACATCACAAGAACAAGAACCAAAACAAATTTTACAGAGCAAAACAAGTCTTTTTCGTCCAAATGTGGTGTCATTCTATTATTGGATGTTTGTTTCGATTTTTTTCTTAATGACTTTCATTCCTTTATTGATTGCTGCTGTCGCTAAACAAAATCATAATCGGAAATTGGAAAAGATTTGTTGGGCTTTTCATCTTTTGATTTTTTCCATAGCATTTGGAATATTGGCTATCATATTGGTCATTTACAGGTAATGAAATCTTATCACGTGAAGAGTCGCGGCGCAGCACTTTTCGGTATATTTTTTTAAACATTTTTTTATCCATTTGGAATAGTCGAAGGCTGGTACATTTGGCTGAAGAATCAATATTATCATCAGTGCACGAATTCGAAATACAAAAATATAAGAAATTCGCTGACATGGTAAGAAAATCATTTTTCCATCATCCTTTTTTTTTTTCTTATTTCCTCGCGTTCAAATCCTAATTTAAAACCTTTTAAATTTGAAAATCCCAGATGAAATTATTTTATAAAACTTTAATATTTGTATTTGTATGGTATATCTTGGGAATTGGGTTACTTGCATTTTTTAGAATGCAAATTGATTCTCATGAAGTATTAAATAAAACCTTTGCTGCTATGACCGAACTTTCTTCTATCGTAGCTACATTGGTAATTATTTGTACATTATTAATTTGGTAAGTATTTATAATGAATGCTCTTTCTTTTTCTCACTATTTCATATGTATATTAAATCATTTTTTCTTGTTCCTCAAATTAAGTTCAACATCGAGAAATAATATCACATTAACATTGTCGGCGTATCAAAGGAAAGATCATATACCAAAGTATAATAATGATGATGTAATTGAAAAAGGCGAAAACACCGTAGTTGATACAAGAACTTCTTGGTATATCGGTGGTACGAGAGTTCAACCACCTCCACCTGCTGCACAACGATCACCCACCATTTATGAAAAGCCTGAAAGTACAAATGATGACATATTAAAAATTAGAGCTGAAGAATTCAAAAATGATGATTTTGGGTCAAGTCAAAGTTATTGCAATTATAGCACTCAATTTAGATTTAATAGTAGGTATAATGGTCAATATAATCCTGGTTTCAACTAAAATTACTAAAATGAATAAAATATGTACGTTGCATGTTGTATATTATAACTTAATTTGTATTATTCATTAGAATTATTTAATATTATATATATTTATTATGACATATTTATTTCACCTTTTTTTAAAACCAAAAATCTGTATAAGAAGCATATTCCGAAGACCGAAATGCTGAATCGATAATAATTAATTATCTATTTATTATTACTAACAAATATCATGATGAAAATATACACTATTTATGCGTCATCTTTGTTCGATTCCTTAAATCAGCTTGCTAAATTATCTGATAATCAATCCTAATGCTGTTGATGAACGAATTGCACGTGCTGTTGATAAAATTCTAACATCTATAATAGAAGAATAAGAATAATTTAATTACAGGTTTTAACAGAACATCAAAACATACACTCGTTTAAAAATTAAAGTCATACTTTTTGTGGACATTTTACATTTGTTACTTTATTAGTGTGTGATGTACGGTGTCCATTCTTCCTATTTATTATGTTGAACAAAAAAATTGTTATTTTTTTTTTTTTTTAAAAAAAATTAATTATTAACTTAATTTTAAAATGCAAACCAATTCAGAAAAACTATTAGTGTTCCCGTATATGGATCTTGTTGGATAGTAGCAACGTCTTTAACAAAAGGTTCCCAACTTCCAGCTATAGCAGCAGGCGTAAAGTTATCATAATCATCATCATCTTCTTCTGCTTCTTTAAATATTTCTTCTTTTTCATATAATCCTTCATCATAATTATCATTTGCTTCATCTTTTTCAACTTCAGTTACTTCGGAAGATCGTAATGGAGTAACTGAAGATATAATACCATTCATATTATCATGTTTATCATTGTGATTATCATTATTATTCAACAAGTTTTCATTAGTTTTCGATGATTTTAATTCAACAAAGCTTTTCTTTTGTCTGACATGTGTCTCTTGATTTTTTTTAATTCTGTTGGACCTTTGTCTTTTCGATCTTTTTGTATTAACATTATGTCTATCTGCTAATGACTTTATTTTTTCTTTTGCTTCTATTTCTTTATTATTCCAATATTCACTTTCCTTTTGTTCCGCAAATCTATAAAAATCAATTTTTGATAAAAAAAGGGGGACGAGATATTTTTTAAAACAATCCTAAATAAATTTCATGGAAATAAATTAATAAAAAAAAATATATACACGTGCTCTTTTGACACCCAAGAATTATGTTTTTCAGAATATCCTATATGTGATAGTAGTGTCAATTAATTTCAAGAAAATACATATATTTTGACCTTTACAAAGGTTATAATTAAGCAATTCACATACCTTTCCACTTGATCATATATTGTATTGATCCCTATTCTCAAAAATAAAAATAAAAAGGATAATTTGGTTAATGTGAAAATTTTATTTATATAATAATTTCCTTAATTGTAAAGGATAACATACCCTATACGTTCGATGATCTACTATTTTTTCGATTTCGTAAATATCATCGTCTCCTCCTTTTTCTTGTTCCTTTACATTACTCGTGTTATTATCATCATTACAAGGAACTAGCTTATCATTATTTGGTATATCATTCTTCATATTATCAACTTCCGTGATAGGTTCAAGATCTCCTGCTAATTCATCAATCTCTTCACTAACATCCGAAGAACTATCTTCGGTCACTTCAGTGACTAACATATTGAATTCAAAACTACTCGATGCTAATGCTGCCATTATGTCGAAGTTATACGGAAAAGAAAGCAATCTTCAAAAAAATATGGTTTTTTTTGTTTTTTAAAAAAAAGTTCTTACGCGTTTTATGATCTATTGAAAACTCTTCATGTGACGAAATTACGGGAAATGTATTTAAAAATATTGTGCAAAATTGGCATAAACAAAAATTGTGTAATACAATGTGATAAATATATAAGATATATATGGTAGGGTCAATTATTATGATCATAAGTATTTAATAATTTTATATAAGATTATTTAAGTAAGAAAGAATCGTTTATATATTTTATTTAAAAGTTTAATTTTATTATTTTTTTTAAATAAATTTTTTTATTAATTAAAATATATAAATATATTGAAAAGTAAATTACTTATTATATTTATAAAAAAGATTATTGATTTTTCTGAAATTTATAAAAGTTATAAAATTATTTTAAAATATTTATAATAAAGTTAATAAAAAAATATATTAAAATATGTTTTTTATATAATAATAATATTTTTAATTAATATTACTAGAATATTTAAGGGATAATTGTAATTTTAAAGTATTATCAATAAATAAATTATTAATAATATTAATTTTTTACAATAGATACAATTAAAGATGGAAACTGTAATTAATATATTGCAACTTACGTTGCAATTAGTTTTAACCTATATATGTTGCAACTTATAATGTTGCAACATATGTTGCAACTAATTTTAGCTTATGTTGCAACATTTTGTAAATTTGAAATCAATTGCTGTACCATCTTTACTCCAACCGATATTTGGTATGAACTGAATTGCTACTCAAATTTAAAGAAAAATATATATAAAATAAAAATAATAAAAATAATAAAACTAAAAATAAAAAAATAATATTAAAATGAAAATGAAAAATGATATAATAAAAATAATGAAAATTTAACTTCTCCTTCTACTTCTTCTATCTCTTCCTTGAGATCAATCCCTACTTCTTGATCAATTCTGAGAATGTCTGCATTCTCTACTTTTGCTTTTTAATTAGTTCTGAGAATACCTGCATTCTCTAAATTCGAATTGATATTTATCGATTCGTTGCCTCAAATATGTCTTATTTTATCAAAAGTAAAATAAATATAAATATATATTTATTTAAAACAAACAATAAATTTAAATTAGACTATCATTAATACTTGAAACAACTAAAATTCATCCCTCATCAAATGGTAAAATACTACCTCAAATTGATTTGGATATCTTATTGGAAATTCTTCTAAATTTCTAATCCTTATTCTTTTAGAGTTTCCATAACCACGAACTAGTATGGCTCACTTTACTTGGCATTGTCTGCCAGTAACTTGAGCTGGATGATGATTATTTATTTCGGTTGCTATCCTATTCCAGATAGTAACATGCTTAGTATTTAGAGCATTTTCAAATTCTTCGTAATATTTATTATGAAGATTTATTAAATGTTCTGTTACATCAAAAGTCCAAACCATTTCAGTCATATTTTGATATTATTAAATTTGTGTTTGGAGAAGTTTAATAAAAAGAAGACAGAGAAGACAGTGAAAGATTTTTTTGAATAAATTTATTGAATCATATCATGTATATTTATACATTTTCAAATAATACAGTCAACCCTTGATATAACGAATTTTATGTCCTGAACTTCAACTTCGTTATAGAGCTATAGTGAACTTTTTAAAGAATTTGATTGGCTAGTTCGTTATAACGAGGGTAAATTTAATATAGTTGTCCAAAAAATTCGTTATATTAAAATTCGCTATAGAGAGGTATGACTGTACCTTTATTTTCTAAGTTCTTTTATTATAATTCAAATCTTGTTTAAGAAGATTATTAATTTTTTTTTCAATTATATTAATTAATATGAGGTATGCTGCAATAAAACCAGACAAAATGAACATTAGTATTACAAAAGATTTCGGGGATCAATAGTGTTTGTTTAATATCACAATTGTATTACAATATAATGTGATCATGATATTTGTCTAGACAAAAATAGTTTAATATGAAACTTATTTACATTAGGTCTACTATGAAACTAAAGAATTATAGTACTGTTAAAAGTATTTTGAAGAAAGAATAAGGTGAAAAAATTGCTCCTTACATTTTCAAAATAAATGATACTCAGGTATTGAAAGCTTATCTAAGAAAAGAAAGGATTACCTATGAAATTTACCAAGAAGAAAGAAAAATAATAAATGTTGGAAAAAGGAAGCATCATGATGATGCATTATTACCTAATAAAAAGCAAAAATCTTTAAAAAGAAAATAACTACCATTTTTTTTGATAGTTGAAATTAATTTCAATTTACAAGAGGTAAGCATTTCCTCAATTTTTTTTAAATTACTTTTTTATTTTCAATCAAGGTCATCTTTTAGTCTTTTTAACTTCAATTTGAGCAACTTGTTGAGAAGTTAACTGTTCTAACTGAGTCTTTAACCTTTTGATTTCCTTTTTGTGATTATTATTCTCTTCTTCTAACTGCTTCTACCTCTGCTTCTAAATCTTTAATTTGTTCAATCTTGCTTCCTATAATATCTTTAAAAATTATATCCTTAGCAGGCTTGCCTCAAATATTACCTTCTTCTTCTATTTTAGAAAAAATATGAGCTCTTTGATTTCATATTTTCCAATCTTTTTTCAATTCAGTGGCTAACTTAGTGTTTTCAAAGTAATCTATAATAATTCTTTCAACTACATTTTCTAGATTTTCTTTACCTTCCCATTTATAGTTGTGCATAAGGCTATGTTGAAAACAAACAGTCATAAATTGATTTCTTAACTGTCTACTAATCAATTCTCTTAAATCTTGTTCAATATTCTTGCTACAATGAGAAAATCTTTCCCTCATATCTACCAATATTTGGTGAATTCTTTCCATTGCTTCTTGCTTAAATTCAACTTCCTCTTTTTCACTTACTTCTAGATTTTTTAATTCAGTAATTTCTTGTTCTTTATTGAATAATTGCTTTTTCAACATTTCAATTTCATTTAATAATTCTTTATTTGCTTGTTGTTGTTTGTTTATAATGTTTATCATGTTTGTCCTTTTTTTTATTTATTCTTTTAATATACTTATATCCTTTTTATAGGAGTATGTTAAGTATATAAATTATTTTAGTATTTTTTTACTTTAAATGTGAAAAAAGCTACAATATTTGTCAAAAGATTAAACTTAATGACAGTAAGGGGACAAATTAACAAGTGGTGAAGTAATGATGGTAATTTTATTCTAAATATTTTATTCATTTCCAATATAGATTGGTCTTGAGCAAGTAATATCTTTGTACTCATCTTTCACAAATGAGCGAATATTATGATAAAGATACTCTTGTCTTTTGTAATCCAAAGAAGGTGGTGTTAATACTAATATTGATAAAGCTTTAATCTCTTCAAAAATATCTGCTTTCTTGACTTTCATTAAATTGAATTCAGTAAAAGGCCAATTAGCAACTTCTTGAACTTTCACTGTATCAAGATTAGATGCTTCAAAAAGAAAATGTTGATACTTTTGTAAACCATTTAGTTTCTTAAAATAAATTCCCAAAATAGCTTTAAGATCTAAATATTGAAAACCTTTTCCACCTTCATAACATTGAGTTTTATTCAATCCTGCTGGGTTAGATCTTTTGATGACTTTTATAATATGACCCACACAATCTACTCTTGTTCTTCTATAGAGTTTTTAATCAAGCCAAAACTACCATCACACTTGAATTTGGTATATTCTGAAATCATGAAATTCAATTCAACACTTTCATTATATCCATAAATTACTAAATATAAATAAAATCAAATTGTTACATTGTTTTTATTCTGTTCACCTGCATTATCACAAGTAATTATTAAATGCTTTTCACCTCTATTCATTTTCTTAATTCCATCAAAAATCATACTAAGAGTACTATTAGGTCCTTTTCCTATAATTTCATCTTTATTAAGAATATAATTAATTTATTCCCTTGCTGCTTCATCTTGAATACCAAATAAATGAACTTTACATTGACTAAGGTAATAAATTTTATTTACTTGTTGATTCAAATGTGACACATGAACTTTTGGGCTCAATCATAACTATAATGAGCAGTAGCATCAATACTGCAATATGATGTTTTACCTTTGGAATAACATTGATCAACTAGTTTTCTTTATTCCTCTGCTAATTTGGTGTTTTTATTATAATAATTTCTTTCTACTTTGGCTTTAGACAGATGTTCTTTAAATCTTTTAAGCAAATCTTTAGCTTCTTCCTCCTGACAAGCATTATAATATAAACCATTTCTAAAATGCTGACAAGTATCACACAAGTCAGTCCTGAGACTCATAATTTGAATCTTTGGTACTAATTGATGTCATAATTTTCTGAATGCATCATACTTCAATGATTTCAAATTACTATCTTCTTCTAGACCAGCCAGAAAATCTCTGTAGACTGATTTATAACTTATTTCTGCCGATAAAAATATAACTGATTGAGTTATTCTATTGATACTTCTGCCTGGACTTGATAATTCATGAACTTCTGCATAATTTTCTAGAAAATTCTTTAGAACTTTTGCAATATTTTTATCAATCATTATCTTAGTTTTCTATTGAGGCATCCTTTTAATATTGCCATGAATTCTTGGCAGGAGACCATTGTTTATCAGATGATTTCTAATATTTTCAAAATAAGTCCTATCAATTCCTAACATATTGAGATAAGTTTCTTGACAAAGGAGTGTACAGTCATACCTCTCTATAGCGAATTTTTATATAACGAATTTTTTGGACAACTATATTAAATTTACCCTCGTTATAACGAACTAGCCAATCAAATTCTTTAAAAAATTCACTATAGCTCTATAGCGAAGTTGAAGTTCAGGACATAAAATTCGTTATATCAAGGGTTGACTGTATTGTGATCTCAATGATAGAAAGTTCTTTTATTACATCCAATTTTCTTCTTAAGACGTCTGCTGATGCTTATTGACTCACCATCCATTGCTTTTAACTAGACCATTAAAAATATGTCCTGTTCAGACTTGGGAAGAACTTGAAAGGATTCTCTTAATTCTGCAAATTATTCTTTGGGAATTCTTGAAGAACAATCACAATCACAACCTTTTTCTAAAAAACCAATTGCTTTTTGATATTCATTAGAACTATTGCATTTATTAATTTTCATATATGGATAATTCTATATATATAGTTTTATGTTCACTTTGTAGGTTTTTTAAAATTGAAATGAGAGAAAGAGAGAAGAGATAGACCAATCAAAGAGCAAAAGGCAAAAAATTAATTAATATTTGCAATATTTTATTTTCATTAACAATAATTTAATAAAATGGTTTCAATCATATTGATTAAAAAAAATGTGTACAGACCATAGTTGTTAGCCGAAATTATTTTTGCATTTTCCAAATATTTCAGCAACATTTTGGCTTTTCCATATTCTCTATATTAATGGCATAAAAAAACCACACAGCATTTTGGCTATTGAGCCAAAGAATTCAAATAATTTAGGATATAATTTTGGCCACTAATAAAATTAATTCCGACTACTATAAAAAACTATTTCGGCAATTTGAATTCGGCGACAATTATTTACTAAGAGAAGCAATTTTAGCTAACAACTATGGTACAGACCTTTTGTTTATATTGTCATTTGATCCTTTCCTTGAGCATAATGAATAATACATATTTATCATCACTGATGTGTGCATGTTTATTACAACATTCATAATAATAATTATTAATGTAAAAAATATTCTATCTAATTACCACTAATAAAAAAAATTTGCAAATCATTAATATATATTTTTATAAAAATAAAATGCCAGTTACTAGAGCGTTCTCTTCCAAACAACAAACAAAAAATAGTTATCAAAGCAACAAATGTAATACCCTAGTCAACAACTCCAATATTTCAAGCTCCTCATCAAATAAAACTGAAACAAACGAAGTCAATATTCCTTCTAAAAAACCTAGAACTCTTACACCTTCGAACAAAGAATATATTGAACCTGAAATTGAAAATATTATTAATAAAGTTATGTCTTCAAACAACCAAGATACTCTAAATGAACAAACAGCTACCGACGACAGTTCCTCTATAAACGTGTCACTAGAAATGGATGTTGATACAATTTCGGCCTAAAGTCTTTTACAACCAGTTTCCCAAAAACAAAACACGAATAACTCCATGCATGCTAAAAATAACGACAACTACTTGTTCAAAGATACTGGATTTGATTACAAACTCCCAGACGATGACAAAGGAAAAAAAAACAATCTTGGTCAGATGAAGTTTCTGAAAATAAGTCACGTGAGCAAGAGAATAAAGGCGCAACTTATAATATTATTACTACTCCAACGCATTTTTACGCGACTGATAACGTGTTAGATATAAAAGGTAAATTTATTGCTGAAAAACGTACAACATCAACTCCTTGTTCATCCGCTATAACGGCTATCAAAGCTCTAACTACATTTCCAAAATAAGAAAATTCTTTGTCTACTTTCGTACGATAGATGAACTCCTGCATGCCATCAAGGATACTCAAGAATCACAACATAATCCGATCTTTACGGTCGTGGACCTAGCCCAAAAGCAGATTAAACAAGATGCTGAAAAAGGAAGGACCCTGAAGATCTTTGACATCCCTTTGTTTGTTAAATCAGACATATTATGAAAATACTTTGCCAAATATAGCACGATCACCCGTTTCTCTATGATCATCCGTAGTCTGTGACAAATTGCATTCATTGTCTTTGAAAAAGCTGAAACTATTAAACCCTTTTACGACGAACACTAGTCTATCCAGTTTTTAGAAAATGCTCTACGTGTTGAACCAACCGATCTAGATCCTATGCAAATTTCATTGCGTCAACAATTTGAATTAAAACTTACAGGACTTCCTCTTAATACTAATCAACAGCAACTACAGAATTTTCTAGCACACATCAAAGCTAAATCTTGCTTTATCCCTAGGGATCAACAATATCATCTCCGATCTTACGCCTTCATCAACTTTACTTCTCTTGATGACCTAGACGCTACGGCGGCGCAGTTACAAAAATTTAAAGGAAGAATACTTTTCTAGATGGAACTGTCTACTAAACATTGTCGTAAGTGTGGTGCCTCTGGACATGAATTTAAAGACTGCTCCAATAGAAAACCTGCTAATCCATACAAACCATTATACAACTGTTTTAAACTAGAACAATACCGACCACCCTGTACTTTCAACAAATACGATCCCAATAATCCTTCATTTGCAAACATCATTAATAATCAAAAAAAACCTATTACTAAGGATTCTCCTAAGACACCACAAAATGTTGTTGATGCTCTTAAATTAGTTTAAGAGCAACTAATCTCAATTGACAACAAACTTCTTGCGATTGATGATGAAATCAAAGCCATTAAAACTGAGATTACAGATCATGCAGATGATTTTAATGATATCAGTTTTCATTTAAACCATCTAGAATTTATGCATAATATCGAATATAACCAAAACCATGCTCGAGACCCAAACTATGAATTCCCATTCCACAATGATTTTTTGATACGAATCGATGATCAAACTCCTGAACCACATATTTCACAAACGAATTCACCTATTCAAAACCAAAGTATCCTATCCTCATCTCAATCTGATCACCTCCAACGAATTGGTATGGTAGAGTCATCTGTTAATGATATTAGAGACGAAATGCATAAACTAGTTTCAATTATTTCTCCTATTATTCAAACGTCATTAAATTCTAATCAATAATTGTACAACATACCAGCAATATTAACGATGTCCAAAAGCATCAACTTAATAAGAATCAATTTACAAACGATAATTTTCAAACGCAATGTAATTATACATGAAGTCGAAATGGATCATT